GTTGCTTAGTGACAATGCTGTGAACATTATGCTCACGTTATATTTTTTAATTGTTAAAGGAAAAATAAATTATTCAATGGCGTCTGTGAAACAAACTTCGCTATAATTTTAAAACATATTGCCTGGCACTTAAAAGTAGTGAACATTTACAAGGCATATACTTGTTTAATTAATACAACAGTATAACTTACTGCTAAAAAATTATTGAAACTTAGGTGGGGTATTGTATTTACATGACTTGAGGTCGTTTTGTTGGACCGATGTACCACAGGTATACTGGAGTTCCGTAGATTCCCCATGTGTTTGTAGTTTCGGTAGTTCATTTTTTGGACTCCGGAAAATTTCTTCCAACTTCTTCACTGTTGGGAAAACCGTCCTTGTACCGTATTTTCTTGCTACTCGTGCTATGCGTTCGGTCAACCCACTTATAAACGGAATTACCACTGTGCCTTTGATATCTTCTTCTTCCTGAATAATCCGAAACGTTGGCGAACCAGTCAAGACGTCCAAGTGGGAGTAGCCTGAAGTCATGTAAATAGTGTAAAACTTACTACTAGTTCATTATAAGAGCATTTGAACAAAAACTTACCTACATAATTGTACTCCATAAATGACAAGAACAGCTATATTTACTTTAGGTACAATATTTTTGCAATTAACACGGTTATTTACTAAATCATACATATTTTGGTAATTTATATGGGTTGCATGAACTTAAAGAAGAGAGAAAAACCCCAACTTGTGATGCTACAAAACCATTTATCAATTCTGCATCAAGTAAGCATTATATCTAATTGCAATAGTTTAATTTTTGTTACAAGTATGTATGTGTATATATATATATTAGGTTTTTTTCTTACTATTTTTTTTTAGCTGCCATCCCAAAATTTTTTTGTAAATTCCCCAAAAAAAATATGAGCACTTAATTTTTATATTACGTGCTCTACAATAATCTGAGAAGATTTCCCGTTTAAAACACATGTAAATTTAGATTTGTTATTTAAAATTTCTATAACTCAGCGGTATTTTGTGCTATCATATCGTTCAAGGTTGCAAATTACTTATAATTAAGCGTTCTACAAAAGTGCATACTACAACGTAACTGTATCTTACACTAGTGGGTTAGTACAGGTCACTAAAGTCTATTTTTGTATAAATTTCTTTTTTTTTCGTTTTTATTTCATCAATGGCTAAACTTACAGAAAAAATATAAATAACACATTTATGGGGAATTTAATTTTCTACATAAAATATAAGATAAGATAAATCTCTAAGATTGATATTTCTTGAGATATTGAGCTTTGACTTTTTTGAAGTATGAATCAATATATTGAAAAATTTGACCAATAATCAATTTCATACTTCAAAAAAGTCTTTGTAGAAAATTATATATAAATATATATAAACATATTATTGCCTGTGTTATTTAAACAAAAAATGGAATTATTTTAAGGCAAGAATTAAAGTGAAAATGTTGCAGAAGAATAAAGATTTTATTTATTTTTTGTTATTCTGCCAGTTAAGTGCTAACAACTTTTAAATTCGTCTAATCCATTTTTCACAATATGTCTACTATAAATAGTAGACAGTTCTTTAAACTCAAATAAAAAAAAACAAATCAATAATTTTGTACAACTAATTCAAACTTAAAATAACGTTTTGTAGATAAGGTATAAGGTATTAAACAATTTGTTTACAGCTTTAATAATATTCCTTGTTTAGATACATTAATATATTAAATTGTTATTTTCATATATATTAGAAATATAGTCATGACAAAATTGTTAAAATTAATGTTTGTTGAGATAAGAAGAATGTTCTCAAATTTTTTTCTAGGTCTAGTACGTACTGCAATGAGAAAGTTGGGTTGGAAACGACCCACAGGTGGTTCGACGGGTAGTTGTTATAATTATATAAAACATAAAAATAAAGCTTATAAAACCGTATTGTGATATTAAAAATGTACCGTTGATTTATGCAAATGAACCAGTGATACGTCGTTGCTTAGTGACAATGCTGTGAACATTGTTCTTACGTTATATTTATTAATTGTAAAAGAAAAACAAAATTATTCAATGGCATCTGTGAAACAAGCTTCGCTATAATTTTAAAACATATTGCTTGAGACTTAAAAGTAGTGAATATTTTCAAGGCATATACTTGTTTAATTAATACAGTAGTATAGGAAAATCACTTACTACTAGTTCATCATAATAGTATTTGAACAAAAACTTACATAATTGTACTTCATTAATGACACGAGCAACTATATGTATTTTATTTATAATATTTTTGTAATTAACACGGTTATTTATTACCTTTTACAGATGTTGATACTCCATATGGGTTGTATGAACTTGAAGAAAATAGAAAATCGCTATTCCGTGATGCTATAAAACTATTTATCCTTTCTGCATCAAGTAAGCATTATATCAAATTGCAATAGTTAAATATTTGTTACACGTACATGTATAGTGTATACCTATATATAAAAACGCGTTATTTCCTGTGATAATTACACAAAAAAAAAAAATAGAATTATTTTGAGGCAAGAATTAAAGAAGGATTAAACTTTTTTATCTGAACATGACGACTATTGGAAGTTGTTGTTGGCGTATTATTTTGTAAGATAAATAAATCATTAATTTTTTATAACTTATTCAAATTAAGAGTAACGTTTCATGTCTCAGTTTTCTGAAAACATATTAGACAAATTGTCATATCTCAGGCAACACAAAAAACCCAACAAATAAGTAATTTGTTTTACCTATGAAATGGTTTTTTTTAAAAAAAAATTATGATGGTCACACTATAGTCATTTTATTGAAAATGTATAAAATAAGCATTAAAAAAAAAATAAAAAAAAAAATTCAACTTTTTTGATATTTTAATAATTTTCCTAGTATTTAAATATACCTTTTTTAACTTTTTAAGGACCAACCCACGAACACTACGGAGATTGTAACCTAATGTGTCGTCTGAAAGGTGTTAACAGAAGTATATTACAGCTGGATTCTTTTGTAACAAAAGCTGAAGTTGTTGGTAGTAATCAATGTCGTCTTACTGATAATCACGGAAATACAACCGTCGTCAATTGCATTGGGGATGACTAATTAGCTTTATAGATTATATTTGCTTTTTCGAAATTATTTAATTGTAGCTAATTTAGGTCATTCTGCTCTCTATTATTATATTTACGCGTACACTCAAAACCGGTTTACTGTTTGACCGAACAAACACAAATTGAAGTAACACAATATTACAAAAAACGAAAAACGTATGCTTTGTATTGTATTGTTATTAAACAAGTTTAATGTATGAAAGTAAATTCCATTCTGTACTAGAAAAAAAAATTGTGTTATAATTTTTTAATATAATACTTAAATATTTGTGAATAAATAAAACTATTTCGATTCACTCGACTTTTACAGTTTTTTTTTTATTTGCGGTTAATCTTTATTTGTACATTACATTTTTCTGGGAAAAAAATGTTCATCATTTAAGAAGAAGTTAGAAATAATAAATTATTTTAGATCTGGTAACGGCGCAGTAGTCATCTTCGACCATCAATATTATTGTTAAAAATCGTTTTTCATAGTATATTCACTTTGAAAAAACGATAAAAACGAAGAGTAAAGGAAAATATTATATTACAACCTGTTCAAACTAAAAGTAGCTTTTAAGCATTTTCTTAGTTTATATGTTTAAAACTATGGTTTGATTTTTAAAAGTAAATTTTCTACAAACGTTATGACTAAAAGATTATGCGATGTATAAGGTGTCCAGTCATATTATCTACATTTGAAGATGTTATTGACTTAGAGTAACATTGCTTAGGATCATCTGTGTATAGCATTAATCACGTGTATTAGTTATGCCTTACACACTGAATAAATGTAGTAACTAGTAAGTTAAGATTGGCAAATTTTTATAAATACCTTTTTTAATTTTTTGAGGACCAGCCCATGAAGACTTTGGAGATCGTAACATGATGTGTCGGTTGAAAGGTATATACAGAAGTATACTACAACCAGATTCTTTTGTAACGTTAGCTGAAGTTGTTGGCGATCAGTGTCGTCTAACTTTTCAAGACCGAAGAACAATCACCGTCAGTTGCATTGGGTAAGACTAATTAGATAAACATCATTAATATAGTTAAAAGTATTCACTTGATTCTCAGTTATTATACCACCATTTATCACACCATTTATCTTAGACATTAACTCATTAAAATGTATACAGTATTTTTGTTATTAAATTTAAATAATTATTTCAAACCACATTTGTATACAAATTATCAAATTTAATGTATCTTATAATAAACCGTTTTACTTATGATTATAAACTCATTTGTTGCTTTTTACCTGTACACAGATTTGATTTGAAGTGGTTTAGAAGATAGTTATATTTCTTTTAATCATCCTCTTTAATAAAATGCAAAATTGTTCTAAAATTAAAAAAAGAAAAATTTGTATGTATATTATTTCTTATGAACATATTGTAATGTAAAAATAAAGATATGCATTACAAGTTCATTTTATGAATATATATATATATATGTATGATACACAGGGTGATCAACTTATCGTGAACCACTCAATTTCTCACAATTTTTAAAAAACCTTCTTAAAAAGAAACCTACCTAATATCAATCGACTAAATTATCTACCCAACTTCCAGCTCGGCTTTAAAAATAATTATGAAAATTTGAGATCACATTGCATAAAAACGCTATGTAAGGAAAATAATGTAATTTCTTATGAAAACCAGTGAGATATTAAGTGGTTCACGATAAGTCGATCACGTTGTGTATGTTCATTTAAAATATAATATGGTTCTGTGTAAATTATGATAAATAAAAATACATAAAAGTAATTACGTTTCAGTTCTGAAGTGGTGAAATGGTTTACAGATGCTGAAATTAAAACCGAAAACATTTTATACTGAATATCCTGAATACATGTAGAAATATTTTTATAAAATTCAAAGAAAATTATTACCCGGTATAGAAGCCATCATAAAAGCCATATCCACTGAGATTAACATTAACATAAACTTATAATTCAACGATATTTGATTTGGTTTTCTATTCTACATTCTATAAATGTAAAAGAATAATATTGATTATTTCCCTTTTAGGCAAGACAATGTATAGGACAAAATTCAATATTTGTGATCAAATAGTTTATGTTAACATCTGTATTTTTTGTCAGAACAACTGTCTTTAGATTTTGAATACGATTTTTGAATATTTATATTACTGATAAACTTGCATAGGAATATTAATATGATGTTGTGTAATTATTATATTATATTCTAATTTATATTTCCCGTGTTTTATCTATTACACATCTGTTCAATATGTAATTATAACTACCCATAGAATATTTGTATTTTCCCTGTTCAGTTCCACAAATAATATCTTTAATTGCATTATCCAATTTCTTTGGAATGAAAAAAAAATGATGATTTAAGTTATAAAAAAATATACCAAATAAAATCATAATAGACAAAACATTTTTCAGAGTAAAAGCACACCATGCTACAAGTGGTGATCATTTCTATATTGATATACTAATTTTAAATAAAATTTACCTTGGCCGATAGCCTCTCGGATGTGGTAATCTGCATTGAATTATTTTAAACATATGTATAATATTATAAAACATAAATGTTATTTTGTTAGAAAAAAAAAATTACTGACTTGTATGGAAAACCTGTTTCTTGTATTCCTCTGTAATTGTTTAAGTTAAATATTGAATGTATTGTTTAGAATTTGAAAAAAACTCGAGTAGTAACTATGTGGGTACCAAGGTCAAAAATGAATAAATTACCTTTAAGAATTGCTCCACGGCCATTAAAAGCAAATGCCACGTTTATAAAGGAACCATGCTATTAACGTGTAAGTCAAAGATTGCTAAGCTGAATGCGCTGATGTGGATTTCTTGTAACTAATCGGCAGGCTTATGTGACAGAAACGTTAAAGTATAATATATTTTGCAGAATTGACTATGTAAATTTAGTGGCATATTTATCTTATTTTTTTCCCATTATTATTTTATGTTTGCATTAGTCAGACGCGGAGTATAAATTATTTTTTTCACAGTTATTGGTTTAAAAACCACTCGTTGAACTAATGTTTGCTTTGTACAATTTTAACAATTTTATAGCGTACACAATTCTATATCTCCTTTTTTTGTTTTATGGGTATTTGCCCATTTTTCTTCATTGTATTAAACATATATATTTTACCCGATTTAGCTATATAATTTTGTATTTTAGTTATAGATATTAACTATTATGAACGAAAAAAAAAACATGTACCCAACTAATAGCCACTAAATGTTTTATTTATAAATTAGGTACTAACAATTCCAAAATCGAATGACATTGTATTTTTTGGAAATTTCACAAATAATATTTATACCCTTTTAATTGTGCCCAACTACCCCAGAGTCCAACTACCCCAGCTTCTGGAGTTCTCTAAACTTTTATAACTTAAATAGAAAATTCATATACATTTAAATAATTTTTGTTACTGACTCACTCACTCTTCATCAAAATTATAAAACACTTTCCGTATAGATAGAAACGTGAAATTGGCACAATTTTGGCACAAAAGTAGGTCTTACGTTGTAAGTAAAAGGAAAAAATCTGAAAGTTGCAATTTTCTCAAAATTAATGCGACTCCTACGATGCCGAAGCCAGCAAAAAGGAATGATATCTCCAACAATAACCTAACAGTGAAAAAGAGCCAAGTGTCAGAACCCTCCCAGAAAAATCAGCCTATCAAACTAGTTGTGTCTATATTGCGGCCAAATCTGTAGTATGCCTCATTCAAAAAGGTAATGTTTCATTCAGAAACTGGCCTAGCGTTAAGCAATACATATAAAAGAGCAGTGTTGCTCTTGAAAGTGAAGTGAAGTGAGGTTATGAACTAAAGAAATAGCAGACTTGGCCACAGCTTAGATATCACTATACTTTGATAGGACCCTTTTCACTGTTAGGTTTTTGTTAGAACTTGGAGATACTATATTATCCGTCTGTTTCTAAAATCAACGCATATTTTTTTTTGTGTTTGAAAGAGCTATTTTCGTGGAACCACTAAATTCCATCTGCTTTTCGACTAGTATTCTTAAACTCAAGATTGCTTCCTTTATTCCTTTGTTTCTTCTGAACCCAAATTTGTCATTACTTATTGTGCTTTTAATTTTTTTCCTTAAAAATTTTCACTTAAATATTTATTAAGCCATTAATATGTTGCGTTAATCAAATAGAAAAACATAAAAAACTACTCGTAAGAAAAACTGGTTTGACGTTTACATAAAACACAAAATTGTGTTACAAAATACATAGACTAGATCAAATCATATAATTTTTATGGACATTTTCAGGTCACCATAATATTCATTATGCACAGAATAGGATAGAAAATATAATTCTGCTTGATTGGTATTTTATTCATTAATGTTAAATTATATCATGAACCATTCCAAAAAATCGAAATAAAGAGAAAATGAGTGTGCTACGCTAAATTGATCACTCAGTATCACAGGTATAATAATACCAGGTAAAATAATAGGTATAATAATACAGTTGTGGAAATAAAAAACTTTCTAATAAACACTTTGATGTACGTATGTAGACGGTACAAATAGGTCCAACGATTTTGGAGGTATATGGGTCTAAAAAAGATAAATAAATACAAAGTTAAGAACAAATAAACATGCCTTGTAACTAGATGAAAGCCAAAATAACGTTCAAAAGAAAGTTAATTTTATATTAATTGGAAATAACTTGAGTAAGAAGCTCTACTATTTGAGGTAGAGTTTTTTCGTTTATAAAAAAAAAAAATACAAATTTTACTCAACTTTATACAACTTTAAAAAACTCCTACAGAAAATAAAATAAAGAAAGAAATTCAAGTATTTTGATTTCTTAAGAATTTTCACAGTCTTTGTTTCTTTAAGCTGTCTAATTAAACACATATTAACATTTAATACAGCATATTATTCCACGATGCCTGTGACAATGTAATCAATTCATAATAAATATCTTATGGAATTGCTACATAGGGTATTTTTTTTTAGACTATGGTTTCTCTCTAATGTAACAATCAGACATGATTTCTATTGATACTCGCCAATACTTAATCTATCTATTGAAATTTATTTATAGAAATAGTGATTTTATTTAATAATAAATTCTGCTGTTTGTAAAATGGCGCTAGTATGTAAAATATTATACAAATTCGCACGAAGCGAATATAATAATGTCGTTTGGATCTCAAGCGATTGGTTTTGTTTTTCATAAAAAAACTGTACAGTCAAATGTGTGAAATGTGCACCTGTGCACACAGGCTTACATATAACTACCGTAATAGTATTTTACAAATTTTAATTTAAGCTGTTACATTTAACATTATAGGCTGTGAGAAACCTGGATGCCTACATGAAAAATATATTTAATTTCAAATGGTTTTTATCAAGTTATTCGGTTATTGCTTGCGTTGACCTTTGGGCTAAATGTAAATGTAAACGTATTTTTTGTTCAATTAATCAGGACTTTTGTTACTTAAATTGCGTCATGACTCACAAAAGTGATTTAAAGCAGTTTTTTTATTAAACTTTATGTTCAATTTTTATTGTGTTTCTAACAGAATAGTTTACAACGCGTGTAGCAATGTAAATAGTTAATAACAGATATCTGTAGGATATTCTACAAGCAATATATATCATGAGGAGTATTTTTTTTGTAGTGTTACTTATGATTAATGTGTTTATGCAAAAGACCATACCCTAATGCGTCATGCATACTTTATATAGTACAACAAACATGGAGTGTTCGAAAAATCATAGTTTTACTTGATTTTTATCAAGTTATTAGCTTGAGATACTTATCGCATAACTTATATTATAACTCACAATTGAAAAAAAAACTTTTAAATACTGAAATTGATACTATTGAAAGTATATGTAATAAACCTGGCCTGTGCTAATTGTTATAAATTACATTGCATAATTAATAAGAACTATTATATGAATGTATGTATATGAAAAATCGTTGTTTATATTTAAAATTTGTCACGTACACTTAAACAAAATACACGGCATATTTCCCGCCAATTGGATTTACTTTATTTGGCCAAAATAAACTGATTTTATTATCTATTGAAGATTTAAGGCCAATTTTAAATGTCGTCCCGTCATCAACAAAGCAAATAGGTTAGTCCTTCACATCGTGTATTAAATATAATACTATTCTGTGTAACACGATAAAATAACAACAACAATAAAAAAAAATATTAAAATACAACAAATCACAAAACTAACTATAAAATGGAAAACTTTGCTAGTTAATTATTGGCACTAAGGATAGGTGCCGAAGGTAGAAAAAACTACATAAATACTAATACTACCCGAAATCGCGCGCTACAGAAAGATGTGGTGCATTTAAACCACTTTGCTGGGTTATGGTTGTTACTTATTAGTTTTTTTTAATTTTTGGATAAATTTTACATGTCGAGGTGGTATCTGCCTATTACGGGCATCCGGCTTTCCGGTATTGCGGCACGCTATACATTTTTGAAAAATTAACACATATAGTATAGTCCTAACAAAATATCATTAACCCTTCCTACATAATTTTCAAGCATTTATTTCGCCTTTTGCGGTGTTGATCAGATGTTGTCTTATGACTTAAAAAAAGAAATAACTTGAGAAATTAACGAGTAAAGCATTATCATTATTATTTTGGAAAGTATTGTTGTTACCTGCTGACATTGAATTTTGAAAATTTCGTTCTTTCAAATTTTTTTTATGTATACAGGGTGATTCATTTTGGGTAAGACACTAGTTTTCTCTGAAAATGTTAATATTTTTGAATATTGTTTTTACCTATTGTTTTAGATACATTTTGTACTATATGTTTTAATACTTTGAACATTTTTATCTCTATCCCTTATACGGTAAAAACGGTCCAAGTTCACTTTTTCAAATGACAACGTATAATTTAAATTCCATACATTTGTAGAAAATTTTTTTTAAAATATGTTACCGTTTGAAATTTTAATTTTCATCCATCTGTTCGTTAGCTATGACTTTGTAAAGATATTATTTTTTTTGCTAAATATTCAAAATTTTCTTCGGTGTCCCAAAGACCGGTGCCCATACAATTCTTATTTATGCTCGCATTGTCCGATAGGCGACTACACCGAAAACCAAACACAATAAAATGTTTTGAGATAATGGTTGATCTTATCTACTAAATTATTATTTTATGTGATGTCTGGTGTAATAAAACTACTTGTTTTTGTTGAACCGAATGAAAATATTAAGAAATATAGTTAAAAATTCAAATCTTTACAAAGTCATAACAAACGAACAATTGGATAAAAATTAAAAAATCAAACACTAACATTTTTTTAAAAATTGTTGTCTATATATTCATGGAATTTAAAACATTTGTTGCCATTTGAAAAAGTGATGTCCTACCCTTTTTTTGTATAAGGGTCGGAGATACAAATTTCCACAGTATTGAAAAATGTAGTACAATGTGTACCTAAAAGTATAGGGAATTTTTTTTTTTTTTAAATGTTCATATTTTCCGAGAAAATTAGTGTCTTACCCAAAAGGAATCACCCTGTACACTCGATCGCATAAGATACCCAAGTCGTATAATGTAATTCGTTTTTTTTTGTCAAGCAGAGCTAGTGAAAACATTTGGGCATTGTGTACACTGCACCACCTAGAACCCCCTCCCCTCCCTTCCATTTAATAGGAGCCGATAGGTAGTTTTTTAGGAAAATATTCTAAAGGGGCACCTGGAAGGTATAAAAACAATTTTCAATATTCGAGAAAAAAACCGTAGGTATATATTTTTATCGAACTGTTAGTCTTTATATTATCACAACGAATCGACAACAGTACAACAACAGTATGCGATTTTGTTTTTTTTTCCGGTAAGAAAAAACCAAAC